TGAGCAGTCTCCACATGAAAGCCACTCATTTGGTGTCTGATTTCACAATTGTGAGAAGCAATAATATCTCCCTGCTGCCAGGACAGAGCTGTACCACAACCACATGGCCTAACTTGGCTCTAGCTGGCTAAACAGAGGTCCATCTGTCTCTACTAAATCATTCAGCGCACACTTCACCTGCAAGGTAGCAGTGCTTGGGAATAACATGCTTTAATTAATGTTTTGGATAGCCTGCAAGGGGGATAAGGGAAGCGGAATAAGGGATTTATTTTATATTTTCAGTTCAATACTTCCACCCAGTGACGCTCCCTTCATTTCCTCCCCACTCAAGATTTCTTGATAGATTTTGATTTCTCCTGGGCCTACGGAATGCTTATCTGCTCTGAATTCCTGTGGGAAATGTCTGCACAGCAAAAGCTGTGCATGGCTAGCTTACTTGAGCTAGCATGGGTAACAGTAGCAGTGAAGACAGTGCCATGAGGACTAGAGTGGTGGATAGTAAGCTGAGTATAGACCCCAGATCTCTGCTGGGTGTGTATTACCCATGCTGCAGCTTCTGCAATCTGTGCTGGGTTGTCTTTGTTGCTATTACGCTTGTTAGCTGGATTCAAAGGAGCTCAGGTAGGGTAGTTCTATACAGTTGTCACTGGGCAGACATACTCTTGGAGTCTTCTTTGCATGTTCCCTCCTTTTCTACCACAACACAATGGTCACTCACTCTTTTCACTGAATGGAAGAAAGAACTATCCTACTTCTGACAGAGAACTCGAAATACAGCCAGTGAATTGGAGAGAAACACTATTTTAGAACTGGGGTAGATGAAGTGGGCTTGTGTGACATTTGGGAGACCCCAAATGTTACTGAACATGGAGTCTGACCACTTGGTAGGGGTAGTAAAATATATTCACCATGTTCTTTTTAGGGTGATCATGTGAAGGCTAGTACTCTAATAGAGTTTAAAGAGAAACTAGATAAATTTCATGGAGGTTAGGACCATAAAAGGCTATTAGCCAGGGAATAGAAATGGTGTCCCTGGCCTCTGTTTGTCAGAGGCTGGAGAGGGATGGCAGGAGACAAATCGCTTGATCATTGTCTTCTGTCCACCCTCTCTGGGGCACCCGGTGCTGGCCACTGTTGGCAGACAGGATACTGGGCTAGATGGACCTTTGGTCTGACCCAGTACTGCCGTTCTTATGTTCTTTTGTTCTTATGTCTTCTGTTAGTGTCAGGCTTCAGGGATTATAACTGCTCACTGATTACAGCTAGAGGAGTTACTCCTTTTGGTCAGTAGTAAGGGCTTGCTTTTTTGGTGTTGAAGGTACTACGTTTTTGATCATCACTGGTAACTGTTTCATGCATGTCTGTGGCCACAGCTCAAAGGTCTGGGAGATAGGTGCAGATAAGTACTTGAACTATGGCTGCTCCTTCAGACCTTTTGAGTCTGTAAAACTGTGTTGGGATCTTCTGGGAACACCCTTCCTTGAAGCATTTGCACCCTTCTGATTTTTGTACAAGCTGGGTGGACCCACAGGTGCAGAGACAGTAGCAACAAATGTAAAACAACAAAAGAAAATAAAAATAACTTTATCAAACTTCCCAAATCAATTCATTCTGAGTTTGTGCAAAAGCTCCAATGGGCAGGTGCTGGGGATTGCGCTGATATTCTCCAGCCCGTCACGGTGCGATGAACCAACATGTCATTAAAGATATATCATCTCCAAGGAAGATGGCACAACAGCAGCTTGGCAGCTCTATTCAATGGAGTAAGACGTAACCCCTGAGTGTCCTAGGTCTCTGGAGGCACTGACTCCCCTAATCCTTTCAGGCAGCACAAGCAAATAGAAAATGGATGGTTTTTCGTTTGTTTGTTTCTTATTTCTTTTCTTTTGATTTGTTTTTCCCTTTCACTGCACTTAAAGTCTGTAGCAGATGGAGGACTGGAGGGAATGCCTGACCTTTCTTGCTTTCAGGAGGTGACTCTTTAAGGGTCAGACCTCAGTGGAGAGGAAAGAGCTCTGCATGGCACTTTGATGAAGTGTCACTTCCTGAGCTCAGACCACCCAGGAGGAACTCTACCTTGCCTGACATAGAGGGAGCTCGAACCTGACTCTGGTGATGGGAGCACCTCTTGCTTGAGAGATGAACCTGGAAATCCTGGCTCTGTTCTTGGTGCCTCCTCTGACTGCATAGCCCTGGGCAAGTCAAGGCTTGTCTAGATGACCAGTTAGGCTAATGTCATAGATTTGCACCCCAGCTTGCTACACACTATCATATACTAGATGTTGCCTGCTGTGCTTTGATCTCCTCTATCTTGGAATGGGGGTCGGTAAGGCTATGTCTACACTGTGGAGTTATACCGGAGGTATCCTGAAATAGCTATTTCGTGTCTTAAGAGAGAGCCTGTTGTACCAAAATATAACGGGCCTGCTATTCCGACATCCTTGTAAGGATGGATAAGGTGTACGGGGGATAAGGGGCGTTTTGGAATAGTGCTTTATTTCAAAATTTGGCGCTATGTAGACCGTGCCAAATTTCCAAATATGCTATTTCGAAATAAGATCAAAATAAGCTATGTGATTTGCAGAGCACAAATTGCGTAGCTTATTTCGAGGTAAGGGTATTGTGTAGATGCACCCTAAGTGCACAGTAGGGAACTTCTAGTGTGTGGTAGTAGGGCACAGTTTTTCCTTTTGTACCTCTGTGTTCCCAGCTGCAAAAATGGGGGTAGTTGTAGAGGTTAGAGATGGAAAAGGGCTATATCTAGTTTGTCTCCCTGCAAATACAGAATTGCTGCCAGTTGTATATTTACGAGTATTTTACCTGTTCATTTCAAATGCTACACTGGTTATTCCACAACCTAACACACAGCACACAGTATAGCACGCACAGGAAGTGTTTCTGATACTGAGTATATATTTTTTCATCTCTTAATTTCATTCCCCCCTGCATTCCTGGTGACACCCTTTATAATTATGTTGTGAAGCTTAATTAGTTAAAGTGTGCAACATGCTTTGACATCTTCAGGAACAGGGATAGGTAAATGCCTAATTGAATCCAGTCACCTACTTTTGTAGCTTCCAAATTACTACATAGGGAGAAAATGGAGAAGCAAGTGTTAGGGGAAAATAAGATGTCACTTCCATCCTTAAATGGCTGTGCCCCCTACTGTGCCCCCTACTTCTGGGGTGAGATCTCCCCTCCAGGCTCACTCCTCTCTTGCAATTCTATCAGAAATAATAACTGGAGATTTGAGTGGTTCCAAGTTTTCATATCAGTGAGATACTTCTGTGTCAGCCTCCTCTTGGGAGCCATAAATGAGCCAAGAAAGCATTGTACTTGGGGTTGTGTTTAATTTGAATTAGTCATGTGTAGAGGCCCCAATGGTGTGAAGTCTTGCACATGCACATTATCAGAAGTGGAATCTGCCCTGAAGGGCTCACAATTTAAATAGACAAGCCAGGCAAAGAGTAAGAGGAGAAACAAAGGCACAGCAGTAAAGTTTGCCCAGGTGTGATGGACCGGGCCGTGTCTGGGCACAGCTGAGGGCGTCCGCTTAGGGCGAATTGCTCAACTTCAGGGCTCCTTACAGTCCCCAGACTGGTGACCTCTCCAAACAGGCCACAAATCAGTCCCACAGAGCGCTTCAGCTGCCTGCCTGAAGCCTCACGAGCAAAACCCCTCCAACAACCCCGCAATATCTGTGCCCCAGATGGCCCTGGGCCTCATGCACATGTTGGGGGTCTTAACACCCCTTCCCACCTACCCCAAACAAGTTCTGTCCGGTTCCAAGAAACCAGCCACAGATCCCTGGTCAATTTACTCTCTGGATCTTACCCACAAATCACACTGAGCCAATCCTTTAGCATCTAACATCTAAAGGTTTATTACTACCATAAAGAAAAGCATGAGAGTAAGGTTGTTAAAGGATAGTACATTACATGCATCGAATCTCCCAGTTCTTGATGCAGGCTCTAGCAGAGATGTTACAGCTGCTGGCTTAAAAGTCCATGTTGTGCATCCTAGGATCAGGATGGGTCCACAGTTCTTTCCGACTCTTCGATCCCTGCACTGCTGCCTCTGGGATGAAGTGCTGAGCTGAGTACCAAGATAGAGTCCGCTACATGGCCTCTTTATACATCCTTCCTTCCTGGTCTCTTCTTGACTGCAGCAGGTCACCTGGCCAGTGGCCTATCCCTGTGTTCCCTGCTGGCAGCCCTTAGGTGTCAGGCCTCATTCCTGAGGTGTGTCCTTGGCCCATTGAGTGCCATTGTCCCACAGGGCCTCGCTAATTAGCATGTCCATAGGCCGGGCTCTGCCCAATGCTCAACCACATGCAGAGAAATATTCAGTATCCACACAGATTACAGATTCCTATTATAACTTCACATACTGACATTACACAATCACATGAATAGCATATATGGAATCAGAAGAAAGTAGGCTTCTATTTGACACCTCACATGGCCCCCCTCTGTGCCACTTTTGGGGCCAACATCCCCCCCCATGGGTGCAGCAGTGATCTGTCTGCTCCCCTCAAAATCCGGTAACGTTACACCAGGGTCACACAGCAGGTTAGTGGCAGAGGTGGGACTAGGAGCCAGGCCTATTGACTTCTAGACCCAAATGCCAAATTAGTATTATTTATAGTGTGGCAGTGCCTAGAAACCTGATCATGGAGCTGGACCTCATTGTGCTAGGCGCGGTACAAACACAAAACACAAAGATAATCCTTGTACCAATCTAACTGCTCTTGGATCTTGCATTTCTCTCAGCTTGTCTGCTTCTTTTGCCATGGCTTCCCCACTATTCCCTTAATTCCCCTGCTCTCATGCCATCATGGGTGCTCTGCAGACAGTACAACAGTGTC